CCTGCCACGCGTCACTTCTGTTCGCGTGTGTCAGGTACTTTAATGATGACGCCCCCCCGCATAACGCGCTCACTTAGAGTGTCGTGTCATTTAATGCTTTTCGCCGTGCGATCTAACTTTAATCTAACGGTCTTCATCTTTCCACCTCTTGGACTCCTCAGAGTATAAAATCAACACTTAGTAAAATTTCGGACTTTTTCCGCTTTCACTCTCCCCAAATTCTTTTGCATTCACAGCCCTTTCGGCAAAAAATCCTAGTTTCCGCCGGCGATTCTTCCTGCAATCTTCAAGCTTTCCCGATTCTCTCCTCCGCGGTTATGAGTAAGTTGTTTTTCCCCTGATTTTGTACTTCGTGTATCTGGGATTTTGTATTTTAAGAAATTTTTTTCTCTGTCTTTTTTTTTTTCTTCAAATTGGGCATCTTGAACCTTACTGACTGGGTATCTTGAATTTGTGTACTGGGCGTTCTTGTTTGGTTGTCAATTGCTGTGGATTTTGCTTCCTTCTTCAAGAAGTCCCCTGAAACTTTTGTTCTTTCGCTTTAATTTCCCCGAAGTCACCCCTCTTCGTAGAACTCTAGTTTTTCTCTTCTTGATTCCGTTTTTTGTTGTTTGAATTACTCTCTCTTCTTTTTTCTTTTTCAGATCCTGTGCCTCCATCTCCTTCCTCGACCACTTCCTCTGACTCAGTCCAGATACTACCTTCTGCTCTTGAGGCTGTTCCTCTCTCGATTCTTCGCCCCGGTGATACTGTCCCTACCCGTGTTTTCATAGCTCGCGTTGCTTCTTCCAACTTCGGAGACACTATGGATAATATCCCTCTCCGCCGTCGTCGACCTGCCTTTGGTTCAATGGATGAGCCAGAGGAAGGCGAAGCTATTTCTTCTCAGCCCACTTTTCCCGCATCTTCGACCGTTCCTCCTTCTTCAAATTCTCCGCCCAAGCGGTCCTCGACCAAGAAACCTTCCAAGCGACCATCTTCTACCTCTCTCTCTCACCCCTGGTTTAATCCTGAAAAAATCGACCAACCTCTTGGTTGGGCGTTCATTAGATCTTCCCCCTCCGACCGGTATGATCATCCTCCGCAAGACTGTTACCCTTTCTTCGAGATTCAATTCAAGCTCGGTCTCCGTTTTCCTCTAAGTCCTGAGCTACTTCGCATTTGCGGGTGGTTCTCTCTTCCTCTGTATCAACTTCCCCCTAATGCTATCCGCTTCATGAACGTTTTCATTATTCTTTGCCATGTCCGTTTAGGTCGATTCGATCTGGATTTCTTCCACTATTGCTATGTCCCTTCGAAGCAAGGTCGAGGCCTTTACCTGAAAATCCGTAATGGCGCCCACTTCATAAACGACATCCCTTCTAACCTCCCCAAGTGGAGTGATAAGTTTATTTTTGTTCGACCTGACGCCCCTTTCCCATGGCCTTCCATTCCTTGGATTAAGGAAGTTTCGCGAGAGGCGGCCTCGGCCCCTCCTTCAAACCATCTCTTCGACCAGCGGATTCACACCTGGAATGCCAAGTCTGTTGAGTCTGAAAAACTCCTTGGTGACGAAAATCTTCTCCACTTTTGCGGTCTGCTCACCCATAAAACTCTTTCTCCTCCTACTGAGGAGATTCATAATCTTGTTCATATTGACAATGATCCAAGTGATTCTCGATCAGTTCACTTGAGTGTTAACGTATATTTGCCTTTTTGTTGTTGTGAGTGCTAATGTTGGTTCTATTCTGTTTGATGTGCTTGTGCAGAGGCTCCCAGCTTCAACATTCCTCTGAGGAAAGTTCCTCTGAAAAAGAAGACAGGAGGTACTT